CTGACCTTCTACCCTTATGAAGTAAGGGTACAGAATGCAGTTCTGTTTTGAAGAGCTGTGTTTTAAAAGGGAACATGCATCACTTTCAGATTTAAAAACACCCATACACATATATACTTGCAATGTCTTCACTGAAAATAGAGATAGAATTAGTTGAAGAGACCCCTTTAATTGCTACATTTAGTTTTATCCACTGAGCAGTATCAGAAACTGAAAGTATTACATAGATTAATAATTAGCTTGCTGTTTCTGTTCTTAAAAACTGTGAAATCTTTTTAACGAAGTGGAAGAAGATTCCAGCCAACTCAGAAATGCAGTCCAGCGAGTGAAATGTTTCTAAATCATCTTTTTACCATTAGCTAATGAATTGAACACTGAGTGCTTCAGATCCTAAACTTTATCCTACTGGTTTCTAAGGAGCAGTTAAAAGCATTATAAGTAGGTAGGCATATTAAGATTAAAGTAAGCATTTGTGGGACAGACTTATATCTATAAAAATGCCATTGGTCTTTATTACAAGTGGAATATTTGATTTGGGATATTTCAGAACAAGTGTTGTGCACACATTGACTTCTTACTGAGATTATGGTCTGTGACCACACTAATATCCACTTAAATAAAAGCCAAGTAAGCAGAGAGCTATATAAACTATAATTGTTTTATCAGCTCTTTCTGAAATTTCTTACTCTTCTTTGATTTTTGTCTTCTCTTACTAAAGTTCCAGTAATTTGAAACTATTTTTATTTTCTTAATCTGACAGAACTAAAATGATCTGCCTTATTTTGCAGCTTTCTCAATTTAATTTATTGAGGTCTATATTAGACACATTTGGTGAGAGAAATCCAGGAACATGTTTGGAAGGATTCCTTATAAAGCCTTTTTGGGAAGTAGCAAATCCTAACAATCTGCTATGTCCTAGATGCAAAGGATTATCTCTAAGGGGTTTATAGGAGAAATATTTAGATGTACCTGTTTATAGACAGTTATTTTAATTTACTTAATGGAAATCAAGTGAATAACAGGTAACATAGTTCAAGATATCTTATTCTAATATATAAATAAAAACAGTTTTGAGTGGTTGAAGACATTTGCATGAAATTGCACCTGGTGCAATACTTTATATTTATGACTCTACCCACAATGGTTGTATTCCTCTCTTTCTTTCTTTCTTTTTCTTTCTTTCTTTCTTTCTTTTTTTTGTTTTTTTTGGCGCCCCCTTTACAAATGCCCTGAAGTCTACATTTTTTGCCCATTCAGCCTGGGACTTTTTTCATAATACTAATGTAAAGATGTTTGTGTTACTGTTTATAAAATTACAATTGTAAATAAACCAGTACAATTTGCTCAGAACTTTCTTCTTAATGACAATCTCTCTCCCTCTCTCTCCCCCACCCCCCTTTGTAAATCTCTGTAGATAGCACAAAATTAGAAATTTGAGGACTATCCTTCAGTGGATTTAATGTTCAGGTTTTAAGTTTGAAAGTATTAGATTCATGTTTCTGTTCATCTGTATGGGGACGAGGAAAGAGGTAGTTTAAAACTAATGACACTAAATTCCACATGATAAATTACTATCTTGAACCACTTAAATTCTCTGAACTTTAGTTTCCTTATCTGAAATAACACCATAGTTACTATTTCATAAATATGAAATAAAAATACATTTCATTGATTGTATTAGGCACTGATGTTGCTCATCCTTCCTTAACTGGCCCACTAAGTACAGAACTAGAAGTCACTCTGGGGTACCCACCTCTTACGGACTCTAAACGGACTCTAAACGATTGCAGAGTTTACAACATTATGAGATTGCTACTGTTTTCTGTATTATCAATATTAGAAAACCAAGGCTGAAAGAAATTGAGTTAATGAAAAGGGAAGGTATCCCCTCTTCCCTCCCTACTCCCTGAGAATTATTATTGCTTATTAAGAAAAAGAATCAATTCGGGACACCTGGGTGGCTCAGTCAGTTAGGCGTCTGACTTCAGCTCAGGTCATGACCTCGAGGTTCACAAGTTGGAGCCCTGCGTCGGGCTGTGTGCTGACAGCTCAGAGCCTGGAGCCTGCTTCAGATTCTGTGTCTCCCTCTCGCTCTGCCCCTCCCCTGCTGGCTCGCATGCTTACACTCTCTTCTCTCTCTCTCTCTCAAAAGTAAATAAACATTAAAAAATTATTAAAATATAACCTACATACCATAAAGTTCACCTTTTTGAAGGATCTACAAAGTGCATTTTAGTAAATTCAGAATTGTGCAATCATCACAACTATTTAATTTCAGAACATTTGGTTGCTCAAAAATGAAACTCATACCCATTAGTAGTCACTCCCCTTTTCCCTCCAGTCCTTGGCAGCTGCTAAGTTCCTTTCTGTCTTTGTGGATTTGCCTATTCTGGACCTTCCATGATAAAAGGAATCATACAACAAGTGGCTTTTGTGTCTGGCTTCTTTCACTTAGCATGATGTTTTCAAGCTTCATCCGTGTTGTAGCATGTGTCAGTTTCGTTCCTTTTAATTGTATGGATATATCACTTTTTATTATCCATTCATCCCTTGACATTTGTGCAAAGCTCTAAGCCCAATTTGATACTTTCCAAGTTTGATCTCTTGTTTTTTGGAGTATCATACATTCTCCTAAGATCTCATCCACTTTTAGAGTTTCTGTTTTTATTATCATGGAGATGATTCCAGTTCTTCTAATTTTCAGCCCTCCAGCTATCTTAGCCATTTGTATAACTACTCATCCAAAAAAATTAAACTTAGCCTGTCCCCCCGGACCAACTTCCATAATACTATGAAGAGTGGAGGATAAGATGCCAAGAGAAAGGGCAGTAAGTTGCCTAAAGCAGCCTTCCACAAATGAGGAAGGCTTAGCCATGAATTTAGGGTAGTAGTTTTGTTCTTTGGCTACTTTTCAAATGGCAGATAAAAGGGAATATGAGAATGTGAAGACAGAGCTGCTGTGGTTGAAAGGTCAGGGAGTGAAGTGGTGACAGGAAGGACTGCGCAAACTCGGTTGTCCAGCCTCTCGCCATCTGCCTCTGAATCCTTTTGTGTTACAGATGATGAAAAGGTCCCAAGAATGAGATGATTTGCCTTCGGTATTAACATCATGTCAGTGGCAGAACCAGAACTGGAACCATGACTAGCTGTTCCATTATGCCAAGAAAGTTCTAAAGGAAAACTCAAGAACAATTTTTATTATTTCTTACCATTCCCTCTTCTAGAATCCAAGTAACTAGCTTCCCTGCATGTGCTGTAGGGAAGACAGTGCCCACAGACTCTTGGTCTTGATGGCCCTTTCTCTCCTGGTTCTCCTGCCTCTCAGGTGGTTCCTCACCAGGTTTCACAGGCCCCCTTACACCTGTGACTCTCACAGTCCACTTGAAACTTGTCACCCATATTCCGATCTTTATCTCAGATTAAATTGCTGAGGACTCCTAAATCAGCCTCCAGTCTGCAATATGGGAGTTTGAGGCTTATGACCACCTGCCTACTTGGTAGCTCTGCCTGGATGTTCCAATAACATATCCAGCCATGCTTGATACCACTTTTATATACAACTTTATGCCAATGAACTTGCAAATCTAAATGAAATGGATGACTTTTTTTTATTTTTGGCAGATTATAAGTGAGCAGTATTGATGCAGGAACCTCAATGGCCTAGTGAATCACAGCTGAAATTAAAAGGTTATTCTCTTCCTGCTACAAATCCAGGTCCAGACTGTTGATCTTTCAAAAAATAAAACCCTTGATTGCTATGTATTTCCTCACAACTTTTTATTATGAAAGTTTTATAAATTTTAAACTTTTAAAAACGTCTTAAAATAGTACCATGAACAGCTATATATTCTCCTGTTAGATTAAATTTACCACCTTTGCTTTATCTCTGTATAAGCACATATTTTCAAGTTAGATATTCTGACACTTCACCCTTAAATACTTCAGCAAATACTTCTCAGTAAAGATATTGTCTGGTATAATAACATCACACAAAATTCATTAAAGCATCAAATACTGAGTTCATAACTTAAATGTCCCTAATTATTCCAAAAATGCTTTTAGAGTATTTATTTGGGGAGAGAGAGAGAGAGAGAGAGAATCCCAAGCAGGCTCCAAGTACAGGGCGGAGTCTGCCCGCAGGTGTATGTCATAAACCGTGAGATCATGACTTAAGCTGAAATCAAGAGTGGGAAGGTCAACAGACTGAGCTACTCAGGTGCTTCTGGACTATCTTTTTAAAAACGAGGATAAATTTCAATATAAACTATTACAGAACATAAAAGGATAGTAAGCTTTTATTAGTTTTGTGGTTTTTGATCCCCAAACCTAACAACAAAAAGCACAAAGACATGAGACACAAAAAAAATAAAAACCCAACCCAATCCTAATAAATACAAATGCAAAAGTCCTCACACAATATTAGCGTGTTTCAGTGTAGCAGGTCTCAATTTTTGAGCATACTGTGTTTGAACTGTTTCTCTTTTCTCTTCCCCCATGACCAAGCAGCCTTCTAATCAAATCCCACTGATGTCTTGCGTGACTAAACCTACGTAGGTCTTCCCATCCCATCCCATGTCGTCAGAGCGACTTTTTCTAGGAGCCCAAGGCAATCAGCATATATGGTGTTATTCCCGGCCAGAGGTGCTCTAACCAGCACGAGGTTCAGTCCTTTTGCTGAGAATCCGAGAGACCAATTGTTAAACACCACTCTAATTTAGGTCCCCCCCCTCCCCCTTACCCCTTTGCCCTTCGCGGCATTCCTTTTACTCGGCTGTGTTGTTATTGGTCGCTTCTCCTTGGTCCAGCGTAGCGCAAACAGCTGACGCCTAACAGGTGTTCCAGCGCTGGAAAGACCACACTTTCTCCAAGGAGCCGCCAAGCCGGGAGGCGGGGCGGAGGCGGGGCGGAGGCGGGGCGGAGGCGGGGCGGAGGCGGGGCGGAGGCGGGGCGGAGGCGGGGCGGAGGCGGGGCGGAGGCGGAGGCGGGGCCTGGGCCGCGGCGTGTCCTGCGCGCGGATCTGCCTCGCCTCTCGCCGGGCCGCCGCTCTCCGCCCAGGGAACGGAGTCAGGCCGCGCCTCCTATGGTGCTGCTCGGGAGAGCCATGGCCAGTAAGTAGCGCGGCGGCCCGACCTCGGCCCACGGGGAGAGGTCGCCGGCTCAGCCCCTCGCTTCCGTCCTTTGTCCCCGCCGCGTCCCAGGCCTTCCCAGACACTGCGCCCGCGGGGCGGGGGGCGGCGGGAGGGGTGAGGCGGCTCGGCGCACTCCCGGGGATGCCATGCTTCCGGGAGCGCCAGGCCTCCGGGCCAGAAGGGCCGGCGCCTTGCTCCCTGCTGGGCTCCTCCTGAGTCCTGTGCTTCTAGGTGCGTTCCGGCGCCGCCTGCTGCGAATTCTCCTGCGCCGGAAGAGGCGGGAGACGGGTGCTCACCTAAAATCCAAGTTCTGCACCCCTTTCTCCCCGCCCCGACGGGAAGGCTACACCTGCAGTAATTAGGAGACTTCTTCAAGTGTGAGAACCTCTGCCTTGTGGGATTTTTGGAGGCTGGTTAGGTTTTGCATGAGAAAGCGGGACTATTCAGGGGTGTCGCGTTCATTCTGTTCACCTTAGATTGATTTTTGAACTTGAGTTTTGCAGAGGCATCTATCCTAATTATTTGTGTTTTGAACCCTGTGACGTGAAAATGAAGCATCTGTTTTCTCTGACTTGGGCAGTGTGGTAGAGGCCCGGTTAACTTGCCCCATATTGCACCCCCATCACACCCAGTGGAGAAATGCTCTCTCCTGAACAGAAAACTGGACAAGCTGTTTCTGCATCTGGACATTGACTTTTCAGGTTAGGTATTACATGTTACACAAGCCTCTCCTGGATCAGCCCCAGGGGCACGTTTCTAGCCATGTTTGTCCGTAGGCCTTTGCCAGATCCTTTTACATGAGTCTTCATTTGAAGTGCCCTGGACTCCTACTCTGGAGACCTGGATTATTAGTTTTGCCTCAGGCCATGGCAAAATCTCTCTGGTTAATCTCTCTGATCCTCAGTTTCCTTACCTGTAATATGGACATAAACTGCCCCTCCTGAGGTCTTGTGAGGCTCCCACAAGACAGTAAGGTTTGTGCGAGTGCTTTGTTTTTCATTTTCACCTGCCAGAGCTCGGAGCAAATCGGTGGCTGACTGAATGAATGTTCAGGATCTGGGTATGGAAGTTCTTTTACACACCTGCCTCTGGATGTGACTGCGGTCTCTGGAGAGGCAGCGCACGACCGAGGCTGGGGGGCTTGAGTGCTGTGGCTCTTGTTGGTGTTGAGGGTGGTGTCTGATTTCCCTGAGGAGTGTTTTCAAGTTACATGACCTAACCCCCCCCAACCCACCCCAGAACAAACAAGTGAGGTTCCCATCCTGCCTTACAGTTCCAGATTTTGGCTTGGTTTGTCTCACTGTTCACTGATTCTATGCAGCTTCCCCCTTGCAATTCCTCATCTACCAACTCGGCTTGTATGCATAGAGGGCCTGGCACATTCCATATGCTTTTCCCACATTGGTCCCTTCACTTAAGATATTTTATCCTTTTCTTTCTTTTTTTCTTTTGGTAAGTCTTTCCTTGTTAGATCATGAATATTAGGACAGCCAGGAACCTGAAAAGTCACTGTAATTTTCATTTTACAGCTGAGGAGATGAATTGACTAGTATTGTTTTGGCATCAAGAAACTTCCCAATGGTGGCCTTTCCGTTTCTCAGCCCCTGTGTGGAGTGGGTGATTTGCAGAATATCAGACAGTCCCTAGCCTGGATCAGGACAGCTGCCTTTCTGGATAGGATGAGGGAGAGAAGAGAGGAAGCTCTCAGCATAGCCATGGTGGATTCATCTTTTAATCCCTCTGGAGCGGAGACAGAGCCCAGCTCCTGAATTACGGTGGAGACTTCTAGTAGTTCTGTTTGATGCGCTGGTGACAGCTAAAGTTTGCTCCAAAGTTATCCCAGGTTTCATTTCCTGTTTTAAATTCCTTCATTTTCTTTGGGATTCTGAAACTGTTCAACAAGCCACCTTCAAGGTTACTTTTAGCTCTTCTCACTGTTTTAATTTAAGAGACACCAAGGAATGGTACTTCTGAGTTTTCTTACTTTTAGGGTTCACACTAGGCCAAATAGGCCTTCAAAGGTTGGGCTCTGTTGGTGTTGCCTCTTCTGAGGACATTTGCACCATTACAAGAGACACCCAGAGGGAGAACTCTAATGGTTTTCAGGTTCTAGAGCTTCTCAGGTTTCTAGAGCAGAGATGGGGGAGGGAAGCCAGGAAGGCCTTTACTGGCGATTCATGAAGTTTTACAGAGCCTCATAGGTTACCATGTCCTTTGGATCCTTTAACCTTCCATCAGACCATGAGCAAAAGCTATTCATCAGTCAGGGTCCAGGCAGGACACAAACAACACCAGTCACTGCAACAGAGGAAATTGTATATAAAGAATTATTAACCAGGGGGTGATTACTATAAGAGCTACAAGAGAACTCTAGAGAATATAGGAAAAGCACACGTAGGGTGTAGTTATTACCCCAAGGAGGGACTAAGCCCGGAAGAACCCCTGACCTCCTTGGCTGACACCAGGTCTTGTTGGCTCTGTGGGACTCAGTCCCTGATGAAAATAGGGAGGTTTTCTTCCACAGTCTCTGTCGCAGCCTCTCGTGGTATTAGTTGCCACTTAATGTTGGGCTCCTTGGGGGCCCTGGAATATTCATGGGGCGAGTGTAAAAACTCACAGGTGCCCAGGGGCCCTCCCCCGTGACTAAGCACACGTGCAGCTCCTTGGCCGCCAGGCTTCCCTCCCTCCAGCGGCTGGCCCTTTGCACCATGCCCCAACTGGCGGTGGGGGCAGTGGGGGCAGGCATCTCTCTTCCCATGGGCTGCCCTAGTTCACAGTGATTGGGTGACTTCCAAAGGATTTCACCTGCACTGAGATGCACTCTGTACCTGGATCAGGTTGAGTCCCAAGAACAAACTAAGGGATAATTCCATATTCAAATTCATTCTTCCTTCCAGCCGTGTTCTCAGTAATAAGTAAGAAGCTGGCCCTGCCTGCTTCGTTTGAGGCCCTTGTGCTGGCGTCGGGCTTCACCCAGAGGTGCTGCCCGGTCCCGGAGTTTCTCAGCCTCCACATCATTCACATTCTCGGTTGGGTAATTCGTTGTGAAAGACTGTCCTGTTGAGCAGTGTCCCTGACATCTCTGCACCAGATGCTAGTGGCACCCCAACAGCTGTGACATTGTCAGAGGTCCTGGGGAGGGGGTGCAAAATCCCCCTCTGGTTAAGAGTTGCTCTGATCAGCAGTCAGGTCTTCTGACGGTTGTTTTCTTGTATCTTCGTCCTCAGCTTTCCGCTTGGCCCTCATCCAACTTCAGGTTTCTTTCATCAAATCAGATAACGTCACTAGAGCTTGTAGCCTCATCCGGGAGGCAGCAACACAAGGAGCCAAGATCATTTCTCTGCCAGTAAGTATGGGGGTGGAGGTTCCCACCTGTCTCTGGGAACTTTGATCCAGGAGAATACTGTCTGCCGGCTCTGGTTGTCCTTTTGTGTTCTGGGGTCCAGCAGGATTGTTTGGGGAATTGTTTCATGTTTATGAGTCTTTGTGATATAGGATGTGCCAGCATGTTTACAGCTCTCTTACTTTGGGATCATCTACCGTGTTCAGAGTCCTGGTAAGTTGTGTGGCTTACTTAGACTACTTAGTGCCTTGGATACTTAACCTTCTTTCCTTGTATAAGTAAGTCTTTCCAGGACCATGGCACACTTAACTGATTTTAGAGCTAAGTCTCCAACAGTTTTAGAAAATGGTTGAACACTGGAAATTACTAGAGACCTTTAGGAAGCCTGCAATATCTGCCAGTAGTAAGCCAGAAGGGCTTTGCATGTAAATCCTAGGTGATTGCTTTTAGAACAGAACCAGATAAAGCTTGCACCACATTTGCTGGCAGCAGGGGTAGTACTGGCCCAGAGCAGGGTCCTGCTTGTGCTAAGACGTGCCTATACTTCATCTTGGGGCAAGGGACTACTGGGACCAGGGGTTGAATATTCCAGGCACCCCCCTCCTCCACTCTTCCTCTCCCACTGCGGGGAGGAGGTGGCCCTTTGTAAACCCTGCTTAAGTTGACTAGAGAATTTGCAGGGTCACCTTGTGTTTTAGGCTCCAGTCCGTCACAGATGTGGCCAGTAAGTCGGAATCTTTAACAAGGGAGTTCGAGATCTTAATGTGAATCCAGTGTTCCTTATGGCCACAGTTATGGGACTCACCTGTACCTGTACCCTGATCACAGTCACTTGTGAGTTAAGTTGCCAGGGGCCAGAATGAAAACACCTAATTCTGCATGTGCCCTCTTCAACGTCTGTCTTGTACAAGCTGGTGATCCTCAGATTTGAGTTTCTTAGCACAATGCCCAGTGCAACAGTCTCAGTGAATGCACGAGAATGAATTAGACTCCAAGTCTAGTTTTTGCTTTTCTTTTTTCACAGAGCTGTGGAAGATAGACATATCCTGGGGATGAGAGATTTCGCAGGAAGAGATTGACAGTGCTAGAAGGGAGCTTAGAAAACAGGTCCCATTATAGATGAGGAAACCTCTGTGGCTTGCGAAGCTTCTGTATCTATTCAAACACAGGCTTTATTCCTTTACGTAGTTAGTAATATAGTTTTGAGTCAATGGATTCATTCAAACACCTGAATTCCTATGATTAAACCTGATTGTCGTGGGGCCCGGGTGCCCAGGGTTGGGAAGTCAGAGTTCTCCTGCAGACACCGAGGGAGAGGCAGATCAGCCGGGGTGACAGGGATCTGAGAGAGCACACAGGACTGTGTCCTCTAGCCCCACCTGAGCCAGCTGTCAAGTTCGGCTCATGGCCACAGTCTCTTTGAGCCCTAGGATGCCAGTGTTTTTCTCACCGGCTGTGTGTTACCCCTTTGAGAGCAGGGCTAGAAGAGGCAGCTGTGTCTTCTTACAGCAGAACTTCAAAATGGGTGGGATATTTTCATTTTTTCCCCCCATTTCTCTGCCAACATTATTCTAGGAATGCTTTAATTGTCCATATGGCACGAAATATTTTCCTGAATATGCTGAGAAAATTCCTGGTGAATCCACACAGAAGCTTTCTGAAGTAGCAAAGGAGTGCAACGTATATCTCATTGGAGGTAACTTCCTACCCTTAAGGTATAAGGACCTAAACATGAAAAACATCCCAATAGTTTTTGTTTCAGTAAAACAATGGAATACATACAAACCATGTAAATTAGGCATTGAAAAGAATGAGGTGGATCTTATGCAATAATGTGGAAAAACGTTCAAGACACACTGTTATGTGGAAGAAGTATGTTCAGTATGATAGGAACAGGCACTCTCAGATTAATCCCTCCCACAAAGGCTATATATTTGTGTGTATTTATATATATATATAGCACATAGTAAATCTTGTATAAAGACACGTCAAACTCATAATGATGACTTTTCCTTGGAGAAGGAAGGGGAATACGGGGCAGTTGGAAATGTGGAAAGAAAACACTGTATTGGAGTGTCTTCATTGTCCTAATACAGCATTAAGAAATTTTGTTTTTTCATAAAGAGGTTGCATATATCAAGGTAGTTTGAGAAGTGTGGTTTTGAAATAAATGTGGTTTCAAAATAAATTTCAAAATGTTCTATTTGCTTAAATCAGTACAGTAAGGCTGTTTAATAGGTATAGCAAACAAAATTATTCCGTTATGACTTACTAAGAATTAGAAACAAACGAGTGGTGAAGAAAAGATCAATCGAGAAAAGAGAAATGCAGGAACTACATTCAGTGATGGCAGATTTGGCCTCCATTCCCATCATGAGGCCTTTGGAGGTACAGTTGGGGGTAGAGTTACTTTGCAGGACCTGGTGAATTGAATTTGAACAACAGTGAATCCTCTGTGCTGATCTAGTGTCACAGATGAACAGATCTTGTAGCTCCAGATCAAAGCAGAATTCAGAAACAGTGGTTATTTTTGAAACCTGTCTTTGGCATCTGACTTAATTACTTTTCATCTCTACTGTGGAGTTTGTCTCTGAAAGATCATATTAGAGAAGGCAAAAAAAATAAAACCCATGATTAACCCTTAGAAGATAGTATACTTTATTGTTGGACCCAAGTGACAGTTTGTCAGGTGTTGGTCTTATTATCATAAGAGAGCGCTTTATTCAGAATATTTTCTTTGCTCCTGTTTCTCTTCTCAATGAAAGGTTCTATTCCTGAAGAGGATGCTGGGAAATTCTATAACACCTGTGCCGTGTTTGGGCCTGATGGAACTTTACTGGCAAAGTACAGAAAGGTAAGTAGGGAATGTGGCAGGTCTCATTACCTCTTGAGACTTTGCCATGAAATCCCCTAGTCCCTCTTAACATATTTTACACACGTGAGGCATTTGACTAGTTGGTATAGTCAACTTGTCGAATATTGGCGGTTGGCATTTTTATATAAATTTTAGACTTAGCCTGTCAGTTTCAGCAAAGGAAAAATCTATAGGAATTTTCATTAGAATTGCCCACTGTTTATAACAGCACGATGGACAATAGCCACAGTATGGAAAGAGCCCAAATGTCCATCTACTGATGAATGGGTAAAGAAGATGTATATATATACAATGTAATACTACTCAGTAATCAAAAAGAAGGAAATCTTGCCATTTGCAACAATGTGGATGGAACTAGAGTGTATTATGCTAAGCGAAATAAGTCAGAGAAAGACATAGGACTTCATTCAATGTGGGATTTAAGATACAAAGAGATGGACATAAGGGAAGGGAAGCAAAAATAATATAAAAGCAGAGAGGGAGTCAAACCATAAGAGACTCGTAAATACAGAGAACAAAGTAACGGTTGCTGGAGGGGAGATGGGTGGGGGGATGGGCTAAATGGGTGATGGACATTAAGGAGGGCACTTGTTAGGGTGAGCACTGGGTGTTGTATGTAAGTGATGAATTACTAAATTCTATTCATTATTACACTATGTTAAATTTTATTTAAATTTAAACAAATAAAATGAATACTTAAAATGATTTAAAAAAAGAATTGCACTGAATATAGAGAGATCGCTTTGGGAACAGTGGAAATTTGGTAAATGCATATACACTGAAGATTGTTAAGTACTCTGGGTAAATTGATCCTTTTGTCATTGTGAAGTGTTTCTTTCTCATAGTACTCTTTGCTTGAAGTTTATTTTATCTCTGGTATTGCCAAGGCCATTCTAGTCTTCTTATATTTACTGTTGTATGGTACATTTTTTTTTCTAATTCCTTACTTTCAACCTGTATGTATCTTTATATTTAAACGATTCTCTTGTAGATAGCATATAGTTGGCTCTTCTTACTGTATTCATTCTGACAATTTCTGCCTTTTACCTGGAGTGCTGACTTGACTTATATTTAATGTAATTATTGATATGGTTGGATTTAGGAATTAGACATTTTACTGTTTTTTTCCTTTGTTCCTCTTTCCTGCGTTCTTTTGGTTTAGTTGAGTATTTTTTACAATTCCATTTTAATTTATCTGTTGGCTTTTCGTAGATTATCATATGCACCCTATCTTTTCATAGTCTTAGAATTAATACTATACTATTTCTTCTGAAATTTAAGAACTCCACAGTTATATAGATCAATTTCCTTCTTTTCCCTGTTTTCTGTTATAGTTGTCATACATATTGCATGATAAATCCCACCAAACACTAAGTTTTTAAGTAATCCTGTGTATTTTAAAGAAATTTAGATACAGTTACTTTGTTTGCTGAAATGTTTATCTTCTTTGTATTTTTCTTTCTAAAGATCCTAGTTCTGTGTGGTATCTGCCTTCAAACAGAAAGACTTTTAGAATTTTTGTAGTGAGGATCTGCTAGGTAGGAATGCTCTTAGTTTTGATTTATGAATATATCTTTGTTCCGTCTTCATTCTTGAAAGATATTTTTGGTGGAATCGAATTCTGGTTTGACAGTTTTCTTTTCTCTCCTAGCAATTTGAACAATGTTTTTCAGGTATTTTCTAGCCTCTTTTTAAGCATTTTTTCTGATGAGAAGTCAGTGGTGATTTGTATTGCTGTTTTCTTGTATGTGATTCATGTTTTTTTCTGTCTACCTTCAAAATGTTTTTCATAATCTTTAGTTCTTAGTGTTTTGACTTTGTGCCTACATTAGTTATGTTTTTCTTTTTATTTCTTCTGTGTGCTTCTTTAATCTGTAAATTTAACTCATTCATCCTACTGCAGCGTTATTTTGTTAAATGCTTTTCTGTCTCATTCTCTTTTTATTGGACTTCAATTTTGATATTGTTCCACCAAACCAGGTAACGAAGATTCCAGTTTTTCATTTTCATTTTTCCAACCTTTTTCCTCCCTCTTCTTCAGCTTGGACAGTTTCCACTGATCAGTCTTCAAGTTCTCAGAGTCTTTCTTCTGTAATCCCCAGTCTCCTGTGTGCCAACCCAATGAAATCTTTTAAAATTTCAGATAAACTTTTATTTCTCTACTGATTACATCCTATTTGTCTGTTCATTAAGACCATATTTTTCCTTAGACCCTTGAGCTTTCTGTTAATTATCACATCTGACTCATGCTGGGGTCTGCTTCATTGATTACATTTTCTTTAAAGTTAGGTAACATTTTCTTGTTTGTGTGTCTAGTAATTTTGGATTGAATATTGGATTATATGTTGTTGAGATTCCAGCTTCTATTATATTACTCTGAAAAGGGTTGAGTTTTTTTGTTTTAGTAAGTAGTTAACTTCATTGTACTCAAACACCATACTCTTTTTCCTTTGTGAGGTAGGCAGTAACTTCAGCTGCTTTTTTTTTTTTTTTTTTTTTTTAATGTTTGTTTTTGAGAGAGAGCATGCATGTGTGCTTGAGTGGGGGGAGTGGCAGAGGGAGACATACACAGAATCCGAATCCAAAACAGGTTCCACACTCCGGGCTGTCAGCACTGACGCTTAATTGACTGAGCCACCTAGGCTCCTCTCAGATACTCTGGTCTATCTAAATTTGTTTAGCTTAGAGGCTAAACAACTAGATTTTTGTGCTAGTAACCTCACTCTTTGAAGTGCATATTTTTAGTATTGAGTTTTCCAGTCTATGAATGTGGTGTATATCCCACCATTTATTCAAGCTTTTAAGAATTTCTCTCGAATTGTTTTTATAGTGTTTTGGGTATAGTCTTGTGTTATCATTTGCTAGATTTATTCCTAATTGGTGGGTTTTGGTACCTTTTCATTTTCTGTTTCTTGCTATATATAGAATTTCTAGTATATGGAAGTACAGCTAATTTTAAAAGTACTGGCCTTGTATATTGTAACCTTGCTAAACTCACTCCTTAATGTCAGTTATTCAGCTGTAGATTTCTTTTGTAGTTTGTAGGTATATAGTCATATTTAATTACAAATTTAACTTTTTTCGTTCTAATCCTCATGGTTTTTATTCCTTTCTGGTGCATTGTTGCTTGGGTTAGGATCTCTGGGATTCTCTGAGTAGCAGGTGTTCTTGTCTTGTTCCTGATCTCAGTACGAAAAGACTTTTAATGTATCACCATTAGGTATGATGTTCCTTCCTTTTTTACTTTTGCAGATACTCTATCAGATTAAGGGAGTTCCTTTCCCAGAAGAGTTTTTTTCTTTTGTTTATAAAATACGAATGGATTTAGAAGTTTACCAAATGCTCATTATGTACCTCTTTAAGATGATCATATGACTTTGCTCCTCTATTTTGTTAGCTGTTTGTGGTAAATTACATTGATTTCCTCATGACATTTGCTTTCCTTGAATAAATCCAATTTCAAAGTGATGTGTTGTGCTTTTTATATATTGCTGCACTTAGTTTGAAAAATTGTACCTATGTGTAATTGCTTACCCACTCTCCACCTCTCCTGCTAGTGTATCAGTTTGATTTGATTCTGTGATGAAGACTTCAGTTAGCATTTGTACTGAGTAAAAAATAACACATTATCGCCTCCCTCAAGAAACCTAGACATCACCTGGCACACCACATAGGAAAGAAGTGTCATAAAATCACTGCTTTGTGAGTTTTTTTCCAGTTTGGCTCATTTTGATAAGATGTCAGCTTTTGAGGTGAATTATGGGCAGGTTGGGGTTGCTCTTTGTATAGTTGATCTTAAGCATCCCTATTTCTGGCCATGGAAGGATGTTTGTAAATTGCTGCCATGAACCCTGCTAGAAAAGAGGTAACCACATCCATTGCTTGTGATGCAGCTCCATCTATTTGATATTGATGTTCCGGGGAAAATTACATTTCAAGAATCTAAAACGTTGAGTCCTGGTGATAGTTTCTCCACATTTGATACTCGTAAGTACTAAGTTCACCCATTTCTGCAGTCTCAGTAGAAGTTCAGGCATTCATTCTGTCTCTCTCTCTCTCTCTCTCTCTCTCTCTCATTCATTCTGTCTCTCTCTCTCTCTCTCTCTCTCTCTCTTTCTCTCTCTCATTCCTCCCCCTTCTTGACATACTCTGCTGCAAGACCAGAAATGAGAAGGGCAGAGAATGGCCAGAGATCTAGAAAGAGTGGACTGAATGGAGAACTATAAGTCTGACATGATTTTGCTCTGCCATTTGGTCATAGCTCTGTCATTCGGTCACAGCCTATTTGTATGATCGCTTCCAGAGTTTACCTATCAGGGTGTGATTGAATACTTCCTCCATACATAATAAGTATTCAATTAGAATGACTTTCTCTTTTCTAATCTGACATAAATGATGTCTTTATGAGGGAAAATCAAGCAGGCATAAGCTTGTACATTTTCTCCATCCTTGGGCCCTGGGTAATGTAAGACCATCAATGTTTGGGGATTTCAGATAGAGGCTTTCCTCTGCCATGACGTGTTACAAAGGAGGTTAGCTTTTCATTTGTGCATTTTCTGTTTGAAAAACAGCTTACTGCAGAGTGGGCCTGGGCATTTGCTACGACATCCGCTTTGCAGAGCTTGCACAAATCTACGCGCAGAGAGGTGAGACTACGGTGGTTGTGCGGTGGGGGTGCTTCCAGGTTTGGTTCTGGCCTGGTCTTCGTGGGTAGAGGGAGCCCTTAGTCAGAAAAGCCAGAGAAGAGGCCTTACTGTGTCCACCCCCGTCAGCCGCTCAGTCGTTGATGCTCATGGACGCTACAGTTGTTTGGAGATTGCATTTCAGCACACTGTGCAGCTAAGGCCGGAGCCGTGCTCCTAAATCTACTCTACCTCTTGAACCCTTCTTTCTACTGTATTTAGAAAAAGTACTTTGGAGCCCACTAGAAGCAAGGATGTGGTCTATGGTACCTGTCATGATTTCACACTCAGTGGTCTTGCATGTTGGGTACAGTACAAAACTAGTCATTGACATTATGGTCCAGAGAACAAGTGTCCTGCTGTCCCGGAAGAACACCGAGCCAAGTTAGAAGATCTGGGTTCTGGTTCTAACTCTCCCTTAATGGACTCACGTCCATTACTTTGAGTAAATTATTTCATCTTTACAGCAGCGTGGATCTCATTTTCCCAGAGGCATGGGGTGGAGATTAGGGGAGGAGAACTTAGAAAGCTCCTCATATGGTAGTCCTCAAATAAGAGCATTACCACTAGACTGTCCAGGCTACTCTGACTCGGACTCACCCAGCACTTGAAGTGAGTGCAGGCGTTGTGACTGCCTGCTCAGCAAGACAGGTGGGGGTGCGCAGGCTCTGGGTTGGCAGTCTCTGTTGACTTCTGTTAGTAAGCATTAGAGCACCTACTCTGCCCCTCATTTCATTTGAAAAGCATTGCAAAATGTAGTCCTTGCCCACGCAGAGCTGGCCATATGGTGCTGAGAGAAGTTTGTGAAGTCACATACCGTGATTTCAGTCACCAATAGCACTGTTCCTGTATGTCTGTGTGTAGCGTGTGTGTGTCTCCAAAGGAATTCTAGCTTGGCTGACATCTTTTTATGTTCGGGAGAGTTTGAGTTTGGCCCCCACTGGGTAAGGAACAAAACGGGGACCGAATATGGTATGGTGTCATCCTGCACCCATTCTTCTCCGGCCTTTCTTTCCCAAGGCTGCCAGCTGTTGGTATATCCTGGAGCTTTTAATTTGACCACTGGACCAGCCCACTGGGAGTTGCTTCAACGAGGCCGGTAAGAAAGCATCTCAGGCATACCTTCAAGTATTGCTTTGTTGCAAAGATTTCCAGTTTGGGGGGAGAACCAACCTTCCTGATACAGGACCCTGCCCCTGACTCAGATGCCTTGACATCCAGATGCAATGGGAAAAGATGAATCACCCCATTGATTGTGTTGTTCGGATTGTGGTGCTTCTCCTACCCCGTCCTTTATCCCATTCTGCTAATCCTAGAATACTCTACTGAGACACTTGTTATAAGTGCTCATTTTTCTATTCTGTGAATCCAAGGCATCGAACGGTGTCTTCGGCATATCACCATAGCCATTTTCTGAGTCCCCTGAGGGTCTCAGGTCACTCCTGAGGCTGAGGAGGGAGCGGTGAAGGGCAGAAGGCAGAGGTGGATGTAACATGAAAGGGAAAAGGAGTGTGACTGGGGATGTAAAGTGTGCTGAAAACCATGAAATACTGGTCAGAAATGCTGGCTCTCTTCATTACAGTTCTGTTAATTGAGGTATCATATACTTAGAGGAAAGTACACCAATTTTAAGTCTGTAGGTCAGGGAGTTTTTTTTACATGTATAGTCACTTCTGGCCGAGGGCAATATAGAACACTTCCAGATCTCTAGAATGCTCCCCTTTGCTCCTTCCCGCAACCCTCTCCTTTGCCCAGATGTGGCCCCAATTCTCACTTCTAAAGATGATGGCAATTTTCCTTGGAGAAGGAAGCAGAGGTGTTTGGTGGTTGCTTGATGGAAGATAGGCTGGTACCTATGATATAAGGTACCTATGGTATTCATGGTACCTATGATGGTGTCTGGTACCATGAATATTAATTAATGTAGTCTTGTGGGGAGCAGGAAAAGCTTGGGAGATATTGGAATGGCCTGGCATGGATCTGTTGATTAAGCCCAGGATGCTCCTAGGTGAGATGGCCTGATGTACCCACCTGCCGCCTGAAATTCTTACCTAATTTGAGACAATGGGGCTTGCAGGCACTGGGGGCATGGAGGTGCCATGCAGCCCCACAAGGTGTTTGGCCCCAGCAAGACCAGTCCATTCTTTCTGGCCACCTTGACTTGATTAACCAGAGAAGATCTGCTCTTTTATTTGTTAACAGGTTGGCTCAGGCCAGTGTCTCAACTGGGGCAGTACTGACATTTTGAGCTAGCTCATCCTCTGTTGTGGGGGCTGTCCTGTCCACTGTAGGATGTTTAGCAGCATTCCCAGCCTCTACCCACCAGGTGCCAATAGCAACCCCTATCATGAAAGTCAGAAAGTCAGAGTTCATGTCTTTAGACATTGGCAAATGGCCCCACTGGGCAAAATCATTCCCAGTTGAAAAGTGGCTGATGCATTAAGATAGTTTGAGAAAAGAGGATTTCATGGCTTTGTTCCCTTCCACGGCTGAGCCAGCCTATCTTGTCCTAGTTTTTTTATTTTATTTTATTTATTTAAAAATTTTTTTTTATTAATGTTTATTTTTCAGAGAGAGAGAGTGTGTGTGTATGGGGGGGGAGGGTGAGGGAGGGAGAGAGAGAGAGCAGGGAAGGGGCAGACAGAGGGAGACACAGAATTTGAAGCAGGCTCCAGGCTCTGAGCTGTCATCAGAGTCCAACATGGGACTTGAACTCACAAACTGAGATCATGACATGAGCTGAAGTCTAACGCTTAACCTACTGAGCCATCCAGGCACCCCCCTGTCCCAGTTTTTAAATGAAGGATTTGTACCCTTAGGATAGAAAAATGTTGCTAGTCTATAATATGTGAATTACCTCTTTTCTGTCTGTTGACAACAGGGCTGTTGATAATCAGTTGTATGTGGCCACGGCATCTCCTGCCCGGGATGATCAGGCCTCCTATGTCGCCTGGGGACACAGCACTGTTGTGAGTCCTTGGTGAGTTGGCCAAGCTCCTCACCAGGAGCTCGGGAGAGATTGCACTAGGGTGGGCGGGTTTTCTGATTCCCCACCAGCCCTGCCCCTCCCCAACCCCCCATCCTCACGTGCCTGCCAGGTCTCTGCCGCCTCTGTGAGAGACACTTGCACTTGGAAACCACCTGAGAAAGAAACGGTCCTGCTGCCTTTCTTGACTGAGTGTTTGACTTGAGCCCTCTTCTGAGCTTCTGAGTGGCTTCTGTTATCAGTCAGACTCCGATCACATGGGGGAATCATGGCAGCAGTCATGGGTGGGTAATTTTAGTAAAAGAGGCTCCCAGATTCTTGGCTTTTGGTTAAAATTTAGACTAGGTGATTGGCTCTAGGGCAGAAATGGGTTACAGGGGGAGGATTTTGCTTCCTACATAATGATTAGAGGATGAGGGAGGATGTGTTCATTTAAGGGAAACTGTGACCTTGACCTCTGTGAGAGTGTAAAGCATCGTCTTAGGGACGCCAGCATGGGAGTCCTCCCAGCTGCACACCCAGTCATATGTTACTGTATGTAACTCATGGTCTGTACTTGGTTTCCACAGCACTTTGACACACATGGTCTCCATGTGAACGAGACTTTTCCTATGTTAAACTCAGTTTATAGATGGTAGAATTGAAGTCCATGGGATAAAATGGCCAGAACTGGTGTTCAGATTCAGGATTTAGGCTTTCAACCTTGGATTTATTCCATACCACTCACACATCTGTACGATTACACACTGCTGTGTATTTCCATAATTTCAGGACAAATACACCAGTAACAAGGCTGAGAAGGGTTCCCTGAAATTCTCTCTTTGGACTTTGTAGGCCCCCAAAGATTGTAGTGTGTGATAGGGGAAGGCCTTGGAAGATAGAACCAGTGAGAGATTCCGGGGGGCCTCCTACACATTAGGATTTGCAAGGCATTGGCAGACTGGAAGGATTAAGTTGTCTTGAAAATTTTCTCAAACTTGGTGCAAGTTCCTCTGTTCAGATGATAGTGACAGGCTTCCTGGCCTTCTGGGCAGCTCTGCTTCCGACTTGGTTCTCCCAGTGAACTTTATTACTGATCAGGCTGGGGCTGCTTCTGTAACGAAGTAGTTATACTTCATCTTTATTTGTTCTTTTGAGAATTCTATCCATAGGATTTGGATAGAATCCATAGGATTTGGGGGCCCCCCTGGCTTATATTAACATCAGGAATGGGTGTCTAGGGTTAATCCAGAGAGAGATCTTTGAATGCCAGGGCAAATGGGGAAGAAATAGAAAAGAATAAAAAAGAATTCAGTTAAATGGCATTAATGATGATGTTTATAGCTCATTTGTGCCAAAAATTTGAGCCTATCTGAGAAACAGAACCAATTCAGATTGTTTGTTAGGTCAGATTATTTTGTGCTTTTGAGAAATTTCATTTCACAAGATGTTTTTGAAGTCCTGCTTTGGGCCAAGAGACTCAGCACTGGAATCTTTTCCAGATCAGTGTTTCCCAGATTTGGGAAGGTGTGGGGCTCCTCTGCTATTGGGGTGTGCTTTCCACACCACTTCTATCCAGACTCCAGGCTGAAACCTTTCAAAAAGTGAAACCCAATAACATAGGGACCCGGGGACCACAGGCACAAGACCTGAGATCCAGGCAGCCCAGGGTCATGCTCAGCCCAGCCTTATGGTCCCCAGCCTTATGGTCCCCAGCCTTATGGTCCCCAGCCTTACGGTCCCCAGCCTTACGGTCCCCAGCCTTGGAAGGCGTGAAGGAGCAGAGCCAGACCACCCTCCCCAAAGGGGTCTTTCTGATATGCCCTCATGAAGGAACAGGACAGAGCTTCCTGCTGTTTACAGGTAGCTCGGTTCTTAGAGGTTTACAGTCATGGAAGAACTACCATTTCCTAGCAGTTGGCGGTTTACAAAACATACTCCATAATCTTCTAAGTCCTCACACAGCTCTGATTTCCACTTTATAGCCTAGGAAATGGAGAGTACAGGTGACTTACCACAGGCCACATGGCTACTTAAATGATGGAGCAGGAATTTCAGCCCCTCCTTTCTTGCCTTTAATCTCAGATTCCTTCCCCTGTGGCCTACAAGGTGAGACAAGAATAGGGATCCTGACACCCATGAACATTAGTGTGGTATGTTCTCACTCCTTCCCGAATCTCTTTCAGGGGTGACGTCCTTGCCAAGGCTGGCACTGAAGAGACTGTTGTGTATTCAGACATAGGTAAGATCTGCCATGGCACAGTTAGGTCTCTGGTGTCCCTGTTGGTCTGAGGCGATTCCGTAGCCCTGGAAGCTCCTGTCAACTGGAGGGGCTCCCTTGTGCCACCTTCTCCTTTATCCTCGGGTCTCTGGCCAAACCTGGGGGGCGATAGCTCAGGTTGAGTTTTCTTGGTTTGGTTTGAAATGACTGCAGTGGCACTGCCAGGCCACCGGTGCCTCTGGACAAGGCCTATATTCCTGAGCTACTTTCTGAGACTCTGGTGGTTTTTATACTGCTTGGGGAAGAAATTCTCATTGGTTAGTAAGGAGTTACATCCTATTAATAGTACACTTTCCTGTTTTTGCAGACCTGAAGAAGTTGGCTGAAATACGCCAGCAAATCCCCATTTTTAGCCAGAAGCGATCAGACCTCTATGCAGTGGAGGCGAAAAAGCCCTAAGGTTTATGCTTCTAACATGTCATGAAAAACAGGAGGATGTTTCTGCAACGTAATCAACTCCCTGTTGAATTCTTTAAGAAGATTTTTTTTTTCTAATTTCAGGCATTTCCTTTCTTGGGAACTCTGTTGAGATGATAGAGCATCAGCACATGGTATTTGCCACATCATATTAGATAGTTAAAAAGGGCTCAGGCTAGCGTTGCTAGCAGAAGGAAGAGGAGATGGCTATAAACCTCCCACACTAAGTTGCTTCATAGCAGTTGGTGAAAGTATCATATCTTGGTATCCTGGTGGTTGCTTCACCTGGTGCAAATACATTTGTGCCACACACCTCTTATCTCATTGCTGGAGCTAGAATCCATTATGTAGAAAACCTGGTCTCATGCTACTCTTTTTTGAGCAGGACTTTATGTTTTTAGCCTGTGAGTAACTATGGAAAGCAAGGTTATGGATCCTTGGTGTTTGCTAGAGGAGATGGCAGCCTTTCCCTTCCAAGCAGCCTTGGGGCTCTTCAAATTCAAGAAAGAGCCAATGAATCAACCCCAGACCCTCCCGGTCTTAGAGAAAAGGCAGTGTCAGCAGGGTGTCCTGTGGGAGAATGGCAGTGGTGGCATTTGGTCAAGGCCACTTAAGTATGTGTCTCTGCAGAAGATTTTCTTGATGGGGTGAGTGTCTGAAGATCTCTTCACATTTTTGCTTTTCTCCATAGTAATACTTTTCTAGCTTGATAAAGGAAAGCTAGTGGTTTTAATGTAGTGGTGTTCAGAATCCTTTTGCACAATTAAAACTTAAGAATTTCAATCAACTCTGTTTTTCTGTACATTATTGCTGGTGGTGGGTTAATAAATGTTTAACAACCAGCTGTCCAAAAAAGAAAGCCCTGATTTTGCAGTAGTATTTGCCAATTTCCTTGGTGTAAATACTTGACTATGGCCAAGTTCAGACTATCAACATGACCCCTCTAAACATGGAGTTGGAAATAGATGCACAGTGGACACTTGTGAGCTGGTGCAATCCTGCTCTAACACAACACTGTTTACATTTGTAGAGATATTTATACTGGAAAACAAAAACTTAAAAGAATGCATGAGCACACATTCTGTTAGCTAGGAGAGTGATGATACCATCAGGTGTCATTTAACCCTTGGAAACCAGCATTATGTGTCATTTAACCCTTGGAAACTCAGAGGAGTACAAGAGTGAAAAAGGCAATGACATTTTAAAATTAAGTATACAATCTGATAAAATTTGACACATGGATACATCCATGAAAGCATTCTAATCAAGACAATGAATCCTCCCCCAAAGTTTTCTTATGCTGTTGTGTGATCCCTTCAACCACTCTTCTCATCCCCAGGCAGTCACAATCAGCGTTGTCACTGTAGATTCGTTCGAATTTTCTGTAATTACCCAAAAGTGGAATCATGCCATATGAATAGTTTTTTTAATCTTTCACTCATAATTACTGAGGGGGACTCATTCCTGTGTGTATCACTCTTTTTTTTTTTTTTTTTATTGCTGAGTGGTGGTCCACTGTATGGGTAGGCTATAATTTATTTATTCACCTGTTGATAGACATTTGACTCTAGTTTTTGGCTATTAGAAATAAAGCTGCTAGGGGCACCTGGGTGGCTTAGTCGGTTAAGCGTCCAACTTTCACTTAGGTCATGATCTCGCGGTTCGTGGGTTCAAGCCCCGCGTCGGGCTCTGTGCTGACTGCCAGCTTGGAGCCTGGAGCGTATTTCAGAGTCTGTATCTCCCTCTCTCTCTGACCCTCCCCTGCTCACGCTGTCTCTCTCTCTCTCTCTCTTAGAAATAAATAAAAATATTAAATAAAAAAAAAGAAGTATAAAGAAAAAAAAAGAAAGCTGCTAGGGGCGCCTGGGTGGCTCAGTTAATTGTCCTACTTTGGCTCAGGTCATGATCTCCTAGTTTGTGAGTTCGAGCTCCGCGTTGGGCTCTGTGCTGACAGCTCAGAGCCTGGAGCCTGCTTTGGATTCTTCTGTGTCTCCCTCTCTCTCTGCTCCTCCCCCAATCATGCTCTGTCTCTTTTTCAAAAATAAATGTTAAAAAACTTTTTAAAAAGAAATGAAGCTGCTAGAAACATTTTGTACAAATTGTTCATTTTTCTTGAGTAAACCTCTAGGAGTGGAATGGCAGGGTCCTATGTGTATTTCACCGCCAAACTGTTTTCCAAAGTGACTGTGCCATTTTATTTCATTACCATCAGTCTGTCAGTATCCCAGTTACTCCGCGTCCTCACCAATACTTGATGTGATAACATGTTCATTTTAGCTCTTTTAATGTGCATGTAATGTTATTTAATTGTGGTTTTACTTTGTATTCCCCTAATGATTGATAATCCTGAGCATCTTTTCATGTGCTTTGCTGTCTGTCCTTTATGGTGACGTGTCCCTTCATGTCTTTTCCATATTTTAGTTTGGTTATTTATCCTTGTATTGATCAATAAGAGTTTTTTATAAACCAGATAAAAACACTCTGTCACGTGTTAATGTTTTACAAATATATTCTCCAAGTCTGAGGGGAAAAAAAGTCTTTTCATTTTTTAAAAGTATTGTTTATAGAGCGCAAGTTTTTAATCACCATTGAAGGCTAGTTAATTGCTTTTTCTTCCTTTGAAGTTTGGTTTTTTTATGTTGAGAAACTTAACAGAAGGCCATGGGGGAAGAGAAGGGGAAAAATAGTTTCAATCAGAGAGGGAGGCAAACTATAAGAGACTCTTAAATAGTACAAATTGAAGGTTGATGGGGGCGTGGGAAAGAGGGATAAATGAGTGATGGGCATTGAGGAGGGCACTTGTTAGGATGAGCCGGGTGTTGTATGTAAGCATTGAATCACAGGCATCTACCCCTGAAACCCAAGGGCACACTGTATAAACTGTATGTTAGCTAACTTGACAATAAATTATGTTTTTAAAGTGTTTAAAATACAAATTTAAAAATGTTGTATTTAAGAAATTGCCAAACTAGGTGTCACTAACTAGCCTATGTTTTCTTTTGGAAGTTTTATAGTTTTAGCTCTTATATTTGGGCCTATGATCCATTTTTTTTTTTTTTTTAAGTTTGAGAGAGAGTACAAATGGGGGAGGGGCAGAGAGTGAGAGGAAATCCCAAGCAGGTTTCTGTGCTGTCAGCACAGAGCCCAACTCAGGGCTCAATCCCACAAACTAGAGATCCTAACCTGAACCAAAATCAAGAGTTGGTCACTTAACCAACTGAGCCACCCAGGTGCCCCTATGATCCACTTTGAATAGTTAATTTTCTATATATGGTGTGAGTGAAGAGACAAATTCTTTTCTTTCTTTCTGCCAGCCCCCTTACCCCCACCCCGACCTAGCTATCCAGCTGTTCCAGCACCATTTGTTGAAAAGATGATTTTATTCCCATTGAATTACCTTGGCACCTTTATGGAAAACGAATTGGCTATATTTCTCCCAATCTACTTCTATGTTCTCCTGTTTCATCAATCTATTCATCTATTTTTACACAAGTAACTTGATTACTGTAGCTTTATAATAAATATTAAAGTCTGGGAGTATTAGTCCTCCAGTTCTTTTTTTGTTTTGGCTGTTTTAAGTCCTTTGCATTTCCGTATAAATTTCAGAATGAGATTGTAAATTTCCACAGGAAAAAAAGCTTCTTGGGATCTTGATTGGGATTGTGTTGAATCTATAGAAGTTTCGTGGAAAACTGACATTTTAGTATCAACCCATGACCATGAGCTATATCCTCCGTTATTTAGGCCTTTAATTTCTCTTAGCCTTGATTGTTTCTTTGTAAAGGTAATATATATCTTTTGTCAAATTTATTTATAGGGACTACAGATTTTTGATGCTGTAGTATTTTATAAACTTCAATTTCCAATTTTTCACTGCTAGTAAAAATATAGTTTATTCCTGTATTTGAGCTTATATCTTGCAACCTCACTGAATTCACTCTAGCAGCTTTTGGGGGTTAGATTTCATATGGTGTGTTTTTGGTTTTTTTTGTTTTTCTCTTTTTGAACATAGATGATCATGTCTGCAAATAAAGACAATTTGTGAAATAAATAGACTTTTTCCTTTTCAGTCTGGTTCCTATTCATTCATTCATTCATTCATTCATTTATTCATGGCCTGTAGCATTGGCTAGAAGTTCCAAAACAGAGTTGAGTAGAAGTACTGAGTGGACATAAGTTGTATTGGTCCTGATGTTAAAACATGTAACCTTTCATAGATGCCGACTATCTGGTTGGGGAAATTCCCTTTTATTGCTATGTGCTGGATTTTTTTAGGTGCCTTTCCAGTCTTCATTGAGACAAACATGTCTTTTTCTTTAGGCTGTTTATATTGTGAATTACGTTGATTGATTTTGAAGTTGTAAAACCTGCCATTCTTTGGATTAACTTCACTTGACCATAATGAAGTAAAGTCCTTTGTATATATTGTTGGATTTAATTTGCTAACATTTTAAGAATTTTTGCACCTCTGTTCATAAGGGAGTTTGGTCTGTTGTTTTCTTGTAATACCTCTTTCTTGTTTAGGTACCCGGGTCTGCTGGCCTCAAAAAGTGACTTGAGAAGCATTTCCTTCTCTTTAGTGTTCTAAGAATTGTGTGGTAATATGCACCTTGTCTCTTAATTTGATGATTCTGATTGAAGGTTTATCAGTGTTATTGATCTTTTCATAGAACCATTTCTTATTCCATTGATTCATTTAAAGTTTTTTTAATGTTTATTTTTGAGATAGAGACAGAACATAAGCATGGGAGGAGCAGAGAGAGTGGTCGACACAGAATCTGAAGCGGGCGCCAGGCTCTGAGCTGTCAGCACAGACCCCGATGCAGGGCTTGAACCCAGGCACCCCTAATTTGATTCCACTGTGGCCAGATAACATACCTTGTATAATTTCAATCCTTTTAACTTTATTGAGACTGTTTTATGGGCCAGAGTATGCTCTACCTTAGAAAATGTTCCATGTGCAGTTGAAAAGAACATGTATTGGGGCACCTGGGTGGCTCAGTCAGTTAAGCGACTTCAGCTCAAGTCATGATCTCACAGTTGGTGAGTTCAAGCCCTGCATCAGACTGTCCTGACAGCTCAGAGCCTGAAGCCTGCTTCAGATTCTGTATCTCCCTCTCTGTCTCTCTACCTCTCCCTCTCCCCTGTTTATGCTGTGTCTCTCTCAAAAATAACAACAACAGAAAAGAATGCATATTTTGCTTCTAGGTTTAGAGTATTCTATAAGTGTCAGGTCACATTGGGTGATAATGTTTTTAGTCTTCTGTGTCTGTACTGATTTTCTAATTTTTGTATAAATTAACAGAGGTGTTGATATCTCGGAGTATAATTATGGATTTGTCTATTATACTATCAGTTTTTGCTTCATGTTTTTTGAAGTTCTTTTATTAAATATTTAGGGTTGCTATATCACCTTGCTGAATTGACCTTTTTTCCATTATGAACTATTTCTTTTTTTGCCCTAAAGTGACTGATGTTAATAATTCCAGTCTAACTTTCTTTCAATTAATATTACCATGCTTTATCTTATTCCATTTTTACTTTTAATTTTAACCTATTTTTCTTCATGTTTAAAGTGAGTTTCTGTATAGAAACCATATAGCTGGGTCATGCATTTTTATCCAGTTTTACAATCCCTGCCTTTTAATTGGGATATTTAGGCCATTTATGTTTGTTGTGATTATTGTTATGGTTGCATTTAAATCTTTTTGTTTTGTATCCCATTTGTTCTTTGTTTACTTTTTCCTCCTATTCTTCTCTCTCTTGGATTAGCTAAATATTATTCTG